GAGGAGGGGGGAGGGGCCTCGCCGCCTGCGGGGTTGCCCATGGCAACGGGGGGGGAGGGGCCGTGATCCCCCGGCCCCAGCAGCCCCCGCCCCCTCCCCCCCCCGCCCCCTCCCCCCCCACCCCCCCCACCCCCTCCCCCCCCTCCGGCCTCACCCGGGATGGGAGCTCCTCCGCTCGGAAGGTGAGTGAGTGGGTGCGGAGTGGTGAGTGAGTGGTGAGTGAGTGGGTGAGGAGTGGGTGAGGAGTGGTGAGTGAGTGGTGAGGAGTGGTGAGTGAGTGGGTGAGGAGTGGTGAGTGAGTGGTGAGGAGTGGTGAGGAGTGGTGAGGAGTGGGTGGGTGGGTGAGTGAGTGAGTGGGTGAGTGGGTGGGTGAGTGAGTGAGTGGGTGAGTAGGTGGGTGAGTGAGTGGGTGGGTGAGTAGGTGGGTGAGTGAGTGGGTGAGTGAGTGGGTGAGTGAGTGAGTGTATGAGTGTGTGTATACGTGAGTGAGTGTATGAGTGAGTGAGTGGGTGAGTGAGTGGGTGAGTGAGTGAGTGTATGAGTGAGTGTGTGTATACGTGAGTGAGTGTATGAGTGAGTGTGTATGAGTGAGCGGTTTCAGGAAAGGGCGGTCCTGCACAGATGCCATATTTTCTGTCCGTCTGCTACAGCAGAAGTGTAGGGAATCCCAACAAGACCTACATCTCTGCTTTATTGACCTGGTCAAGGCCTATGATACCATCAGTAGGCCTGGGCTCTGGGTCGTTCTTCGTGCTTTTGGAGTACCTGACCCTCTGCTCACGATCATTGAGGACCTTCATGATGGTGAGCGGGCCCGGGTAAAACTACGTGGCCGGGAGTCAGAGCCATTCCCTGTACACCTTGGGGTGCGACAGGGATGTCCTCTGGCTCCCACATTATTTAACATCTATTTTGACCACGTAGTTCGTGAAGCCTTCAATAGCTGTACCGGGGGAATCTCCATATGGTACAGATATAATGGGAGGCTAATCGATGCCCGGGTGCGGTCAAGGGATGGCTCCCTATTGCTCAACCACGTTATGTATGCTGATGACTTGGTAATAGCTGCTCAGTCAGAGGAGGAGTTGGAGACGCTGCTGTTGAGACTGGATCATGCCACTAAGAGGTGGGGCCTTAGCATCAGCCCCACCAAAACTAAGCACCTGCCTGGGTATTTTGTACCATCGGACACTCCACCCCCACAACTCCCAATCGGTGATGGGGCAGTTGTGGAGAGAGTGGAGAGTTTCCCATACCTGGGCAGTGTGCTTATGACTGGCTCCAGTTTAACAGCAGAGGTCTCACTCCGAATCAGTCGAGCGGCAATATCTTTTCATCGGTTGCGTAACGCTGTGTGGAAGCTACCTGGTCTGTCGCTCCGCACTAAGCTTCGGGTCTTCTCGGCCACGGTCATTCCCTCCCTTCTCTACGCTTGCGAAACGTGGACCCCCCTAATGGAACACCTTCGCCGGTTAGAAACATTTAGGCTAGCCTGCCTACGATCCATCCTGGGTTTAACCAGACTGGATTGTGTGAGGAGCTCAGAAATCCTTGAAAGATCTGGGCAAGGTCCCATCGGTGAGCTCCTCCGACGGAGAAGGCTGCGATGGCTGGGTCATGTAGCCCGCATGCCCAGCCACCGCATGCCGAAACAGCTTTTGTTCGGCCGGATTGAGGGGGCTAAGCAGGCGCGGCACGGGCTAGAGAAGAGATGGAGTGATGTGGTACAGGAGGACGTGGAGCTGAGTGGACTTGCCGATGACCGGTACCAGCGGTGTCAAGATTGGCCTCTGTGGAGGAGGCTCGTGAAGGATGCTACTGGGCAGTTGGAGGCAGTCGGCCTCCAACAACAACGGAGGGCGGAGGAGCGACGCTCACAACAACGAGCGGAGCGCCGGGTGGCTAAAGCACAGCGGGTTGGCACAGTAGGGGGCACAGGTGGTGCATCAGCCAGTCATCTCAGTCAGTCGACCCGTGGCACCTGGGTCTGCCCTGTGACCTCCTGCCAGCGGGCGTTCGACACTTCACGTGGCCTCAGGGTGCACATAGCCTGGCACAAGCGTCGTGGTGACGTCACCGCCACTTAGTGGCGAATGGCGGTTGTTGTGTATAAGTGAGTGTGTGAGTGTATAAGTGAGTGAGTGTATGAGTGTATGTATAAGTGAGTGAGAGTGTATAAGTGAGTGAGTGTATAAGTGAGTGAGTAAGTGAGTGAGTGTATGAGTGAGTGTATGAGTGTGTATAAGTGAGTGCGTGAGTGTATGAGTGAGTGTATAAGTGAGTGAGAGTGTGAGTGTATAAGTGAGTGAGTGTATAAGTGAGTGAGTGTATAAGTGAGTGCGTGTATAAGTGAGTGAGTGTGTGAGTGAGTGTATAAGTGAGTGTGTATGAGTGAGTGAGTGTGGGAGTGTGTGTGTGAGTGTATGAGTGAGTGTATGTGAGTGAGTGTATGTGAGTGTGTGTATAAGTGAGTGTGTATGAGTGAGTGAGTGTGTATGAGTGAGTGAGTGAGTGTATGAGTGAGTGAGTGTGTAAGTGAGTGTATGACTGAGTGTATAAGTGAGTGTATAAGTGAGTGTGTGAGTGTATAAGTGAGTGAGAGTATGAGTGAGTGAGTGAGTGTATGAGTGTGTGTATAAGTGAGTGTGTGAGTGAGTATAAGTGAGTGAGTGTATAAGTGTGTGAGTGTATAAGTGATTGAGTGTGTAAGTGAGTGAGTGTATGAGTGTGTGTATAAGTGAGTGTGTGAGTGAGTGTATGAGTGAGTGTGTATACGTGAGTGAGTGTATGAGTGAGTGTATGAGTGAGTGTGTGTTGTGTATAAGTGAGTGAGTGTATGAGTGAGTGTATAAGTGAGTGAGTGAGTGTATGAGTGAGTGTATAAGTGAGTGAGTGAGTGTATGAGTGAGTGTGTAAGTGAGTGAGTGAGTGTATGAGTGAGTGTATAAGTGAGTGAGTGAGTGTATGAGTGAGTGTGTAAGTGAGTGAGTGAGTGTATAAGTGAGTGAGTGTATGAGTGAGTGTGTGTTGTGTATAAGTGAGTGAGTGTGTATGAGTGAGTGTGTATAAGTGAGTGTATGAGTGAGTGAGTGTATAAGTGATTGAAACATAAATTCCGGGTGTCTCTCCCTCCCCACCACCCACCCACCCAGCATCCCCACCCTGTGCGCCACCACCACAACAACCACAACCACCCACCCCCACCACCCACCGCCTCCACCCCCTCCACCACCACCTCCACCCACCGGCACCACCACCGGCACCACCACCGGCACCACCACCGGCACCACCACCGGCACCGCGTCTGCCCTCATCCCCTCGGCCCACACGGCCTTCGTCAGCGCCTCGGCTTCGCTCGCCGCGTCTCAACACCCGGCACCGCCTCCTCCACCGCCTCCTCCACCGCCTCCTCCACCGCCTCCACCGCCTCCGCCGCCGCCACCGACGTCGTCCACCACCGTCCCGGCTGCCTCCTCCTCCTCCTCCTCCTCCGCCGGAGCGGCTTCGGTGAATCTCGGCACGCCGGCGAGGCGTCCGGCGGGCGGTGATGGAGGTGGAGGCGGTGGTGGAGGCGGTGGAGGCAGTGGAGGCGGTGTTGGAGGCGGTGGAGGCGGAGGCGGTGGAGGCGGGGAGAGGGCGGGCGGAGAGCAGCAGTTGCCCTCGGTGAGCGACGCTCGGAGCGATCTGCTGGCCGCCATCCGCATGGGTGAGTGGGGTGGGGTGGGTGGGGTGGGGTGGGGTGAGTGGGGTGGGGTGGGTGGTGGTTGTGGTGAGATGGTGAACTGGTGAGTGAGTTGGTGAGTGAGTGAGTTGGTGAGTGAGTTGGTGAGTGAGTGATCTGGTGAGCGCCCTGGTGAGCGTCTCCCCCTCCCCCCCAGGTATCCAGCTACGCAAGGTGCAGGAGCTGCGTGAGTTGGAGGCTCACCGCCGAGACCCCGGCGCCAACGACGTCGCCACCATCCTGAGCCGACGCATCGCCGTGGAATACAGCGACTCGGACGACGACTCCGAGTTGGACAACGACGAGTGGTCCGACTGAGGAGACAGACAGGCGACTGAGCAGACAGACAGGCAACAGAGCAGACAGACGGGCGACTCGGACGACGACTCCGAGTTGGACAACGACGAGTGGTCCGACTGAGCAGACAGACAGGCGACTGAGCAGACAGACAGGCAACAGAGCAGACTGACAACAGAGCAGACGGGCGACTCGGACGACGACTCCGAGTTGGACAACGACGAGTGGTCCGACTGAGGAGACAGACAGGCAACAGAGCAGACAGACAACAGAGCAGACGGGCGACTCGGACGACGACTCCGAGTTGGACAACGACGAGTGGTCCGACTGAGGAGACAGACAGGCAACAGAGCAGACGGGCGACTGAGCACAGACAGGCGACTCGGACGACGACTCCGAGTTGGACAACGACGAGTGGTCCGACTGAGGAGACAGACAGGCGACTGAGCAGACAGACAGGCGACTGACGGGCGACTCGGACGACGACTCCGAGTTGGACAACGACAAGTGGTCCGACTGAGCAGACAGACAGGCGACAGAGCAGACAGACAACAGAGCAGACGGGCGACTCGGACGACGACTCCGAGTTGGACAACGACGAGTGGTCCGACTGAGCAGACAGACAGGCGACTGAGCAGACAGACAACAGAGCAGACGGGCGACTCGGACGACGACTCCGAGTTGGACAACGACGAGTGGTCCGACTGAGCAGACAGACAGGCAACAGAGCAGACAGACAGGCAACAGAGCAGAGACGGGCGACTGAGCACAGACGGGCGACTCGGACGACGACTCCGAGTTGGACAACGACGAGTGGTCCGACTGAGGAGACAGACAGGCAACAGAGCAGACAGACAGGCGACTGACGGGCGACTCGGACGACGACTCCGAGTTGGACAACGACGAGTGGTCCGACTGAGGAGACAGACAGGCGACTGAGCAGACAGACAGGCAACAGAGCAGACAGACGGGCGACTCGGACGACGACTCCGAGTTGGACAACGACGAGTGGTCCGACTGAGGAGACAGACAGGCGACTGAGCAGACAGACAGGCAACAGAGCAGACAGACGGGCGACTCGGACGACGACTCCGAGTTGGACAACGACGAGTGGTCCGACTGAGCAGACAGACAGGCGACTGAGCAGACAGACAGGCAACAGAGCAGACAGACAACAGAGCAGACGGGCGACTCGGACGACGACTCCGAGTTGGACAACGACGAGTGGTCCGACTGAGGAGACAGACAGGCAACAGAGCAGACAGACAGGCGACTGACGGGCGACTCGGACGACGACTCCGAGTTGGACAACGACGAGTGGTCCGACTGAGCAGACAGACAGGCGACAGAGCAGACAGACAACAGAGCAGACGGGCGACTGAGCACAGACGGGCGACTCGGACGACGACTCCGAGTTGGACAACGACGAGTGGTCCGACTGAGCACACAGACAGGCGACTGAGCAGACAGACAACAGAGCAGACGGGCGACTCGGACGACGACTCCGAGTTGGACAATGACGAGTGGTCTGACTGAGCAGACACACAGGCAACAGAGCAGACAGACGGACGACAGAGCACAGACGGGCGACTCGGACGACGACTCCGAGTTGGACAACGACGAGTGGTCCGACTGAGGAGACAGACAGGCAACAGAGCAGACAGACAACAGAGCAGACGGGCGACTGAGCACAGACGGGCGACTCGGACGACGACTCCGAGTTGGACAACGACGAGTGGTCCGACTGAGCAGACAGACAGGCGACTGAGCAGACAGACAACAGAGCAGACGGGCGACTCGGACGACGACTCCGAGTTGGACAACGACGAGTGGTCCGACTGAGCAGACAGACATCTGACTGAGCAGACAGGCGACTGACGGGCGACTCGGACGACGACTCCGAGTTGGACAACGACGAGTGGTCCGACTGAGGAGACAGACAGGCGACTGAGCAGACAGACAACAGAGCAGACGGGCGACTGAGCACAGACGGGCGACTCGGACGACGACTCCGAGTTGGACAACGACGAGTGGTCCGACTGAGCAGACAGACAGGCGACTGAGCAGACAGACAACAGAGCAGACGGGCGACTCGGACGACGACTCCGAGTTGGACAACGACGAGTGGTCCGACTGAGCAGACAGACAGGCGACTGAGCAGACAGACAGGCAACAGAGCAGACAGACGGGCGACTCGGACGACGACTCCGAGTTGGACAACGACGAGTGGTCCGACTGAGGAGACAGACAGGCAATTGAGCAGACAGACAACAGAGCAGACGGGCGACTGAGCAGATGTCTGACTGAGCAGACAGACGGGCGACTGAGCAGACAGGCAACAGAGCAGACGGGCGACTGAGCAGATGTCTGACTGAGCAGACAGACGGGCGACTGAGCAGACAGGCAACAGAGCAGACGGGCGACTCGGACGACGACTCCGAGTTGGACAACGACGAGTGGTCCGACTGAGGAGACAGACAGGCAGCAGAGCAGACAGACAGGCGACTGACGGGCGACTCGGACGACGACTCCGAGTTGGACAACGACGAGTGGTCCGACTGAGCACACAGACAGGCGACTGAGCAGACAGACAACAGAGCAGACGGGCGACTCGGACGACGACTCCGAGTTGGACAATGACGAGTGGTCTGACTGAGCAGACAGACAGGCAACAGAGCAGACAGACGGACGACAGAGCACAGACGGGCGACTCGGACGACGACTCCGAGTTGGACAACGACGAGTGGTCCGACTGAGGAGACAGACAGGCAACAGAGCAGACAGACAACAGAGCAGACGGGCGACTGAGCACAGACGGGCGACTCGGACGACGACTCCGAGTTGGACAACGACGAGTGGTCCGACTGAGGAGACAGACAGGCGACTGAGCAGACAGACAACAGAGCAGACGGGCGACTCGGACGACGACTCCGAGTTGGACAACGACGAGTGGTCCGACTGAGGAGACAGACAGGCGACTGAGCAGACAGACAGGCAACAGAGCAGACAGACGGGCGACTCGGACGACGACTCCGAGTTGGACAACGACGAGTGGTCCAACTGAGGAGACAGACAGGCAACTGAGCAGACAGACAACAGAGCAGACGGGCGACTGAGCACAGACGGGCGACTCGGACGACGACTCCGAGTTGGACAACGACGAGTGGTCCGACTGAGCAGACAGACAGGCGACTGAGCAGACAGACAACAGAGCAGACGGGCGACTCGGACGACGACTCCGAGTTGGACAACGACGAGTGGTCCGACTGAGCAGACAGACAGGCGACTGAGCAGACAGACAGGCAACAGAGCAGACAGACGGGCGACTCGGACGACGACTCCGAGTTGGACAACGACGAGTGGTCCGACTGAGGAGACAGACAGGCAACTGAGCAGACAGACAACAGAGCAGACGGGCGACTGAGCAGATGTCTGACTGAGCAGACAGACGGGCGACTGAGCAGACAGGCAACAGAGCAGACGGGCGACTGAGCAGATGTCTGACTGAGCAGACAGACGGGCGACTGAGCAGACAGGCAACAGAGCAGACGGGCGACTCGGACGACGACTCCGAGTTGGACAACGACGAGTGGTCCGACTGAGGAGACAGACAGGCAGCAGAGCAGACAGACAGGCGACTGACGGGCGACTCGGACGACGACTCCGAGTTGGACAACGACGAGTGGTCTGACTGAGCAGACAGACAGGCGACAGAGCAGACAGACAACAGAGCAGACGGGCGACTCGGACGACGACTCCGAGTTGGACAACGACGAGTGGTCCGACTGAGCAGACAGACAGGCGACTGAGCAGACAGACAACAGAGCAGACGGGCGACTCGGACGACGACTCCGAGTTGGACAACGACGAGTGGTCCGACTGACGGGCGACTCGGACAACGACTCCGAGTTGGACAACGACGAGTGGTCCGACTGAGCACACAGACGTCTGACTGAGCAGACGGACGACAGAGCAGACGGAAGGGCGACTGAGCACAGACGGACGACTGAGCAGACGGGCGACTGAGCACAGACGGAAGGGCGACTGAGCAGACGGGCGACTAACGGACGACGGAGCAGAGACGGACGACTGAGCAGACGGACGACTAACGGACGACTGAGCACAGACGGACGACTGAGCAGACATCTGATTGAGCAGAGACGCTACAGGCGGAGAGAGACAGAGTGAGAGAGAGAGAGAGACAGAGTGAGAGAGATAGAGAGAGAGACAGAGTGAGATAGACAGAGTGAGTGATAGAGAGATAGTGAGAGAGATAGAGTGATAGAGAGATAGAGAGTGATAGAGATAGAGAGTGATAGAGAGATAGAGTGAGAGAGAGAGTGATAGAGAGAGAGAGAGTGAGAGAGACAGAGTGAGAGACAGAGATAGAGAGACAGAGTGAGAGAGAGACAGAGACCGACGGACATGGAGACATGCAGGCAGACACTAACCCTGACCCACCCCCCCCTGTAACCCTCTTGACACTACAGACACGTTTACTTGTCACTTCTTTCGCTAAAGTCACGTAGAGAGACACTACACACAAAGTTGTTGTTGTTGCGATGCTGGAACACATTCCGGGCGTTTTGCTGAGCCCAGATGTCGCCTTAGGCCCAGGCAAGCCAGGCTGTCTGAGGCCTTAGGCCCAGGCAAGCCAGGCTCTAGGCCTTAGGCCCAGGCAAGCCAGGCTGTCTGAGGCCTTAGGCCCAGAGAAGCCAGGCTCTCTCCAGGCCTTAGGCCCAGGCAAGCCAGGCTCTAGGCCTTAGGCCCAGGCAAGCCAGGCTGTCTGCGGCCTTAGGCCCAGGCAAGCCAGGCTCTAGGCCTTAGGCCCAGGCAAGCCAGGCTCTCTCTAGGCCTAGAACAACAAAAGGAACATCGGGTTTACAGGCCGCTGTTTGTTAAAGGCGGAGGTGGCGGCCTCGCCTGCTTGGATTCTCCTCGCTGCCTAAGGCCTAGAGAGCCAGGCTCTCTAGGCCTTAGGCCTGGCTTGGGAGCCTGGTTCCATAGGCCTTAGGCCCAGGACAGCCAGGCTCTCTCAGGCCTTAGGCCCAGGCAAGTCAGGCTCTCTGAGGCCTTAGGCCCAGGCAAGCCAGGCTCTCTTGAGGCCTTGGGCCCAGGCAAGCCAGGCTCTCTCAGGCCTTAGGCCCAGGCAAGCCAGGCTCTCTAGGCCTAGAACAACAAAAGGAACATCGGGTTTCCAGGCCACTGTTAAAGGCAGAGGTGGTGGCCTCGCCTGCCTGGATTCTCGCTGCCTTGGGCCCGGGACAGCCTGGCTCCATAGGCCTTAGGCCTGGCTTGGGAGCCTAGTTCCATAGGCCTTAGGCCTGGCTTGGGAGCCTGGTTCCATAGGCCTTAGGCCCAGGACAGCCAGGCTCTCTCTAGGCCTTAGGCCCAGGCAAGCCAGGCCTTAGGCCCAGGCAAGCCAGGCCTTAGGCCCGGGACAGCCTGGTTACATAGGCCTTAGGCCCAGGACAGCCAGGCGCTCTAGGCCTTAGGCCCAGGCAAGCCAGGCTCTTTAGGCCTTAGGCCCAGGAGAGCCTGGTTCCATAGGCCTTAGGCAAGCCAGGCTCTCTAGGCCTTAGGTCCAGGAAAGCCTGGCTCTCTAGGCCTTAGGCCCAGGAGAGCCAGGCTCTCTAGGCCTTAGGCCCATGAAAGCCTGGCTCTCAGCCTTAAGCCTAGGAAAGCCTGGGTCTCTAGGCCTTAGGCCTAGGAAAGCCTGGCTCTCGACCTAAGGTCTCATCAAAGCCTGGGTCTCTAGGCCTTAAGCCTAGGAAAGCCTGGCTCTCTAGGCCTTAGGCCGAGAGAGCAAGGCTTTCCTAGGCCTAAGGGCTAGAGAGCCAGGCTCTCCTAGGCTTAAGGCTGAGCGAGCCAGGCTTTTATGGGCCTAGAGAGCCTGGCTTTCCTAGGCCTGGCTCTCTCGTCTCGTATTTGCCGTCGAATGTGCCGAGTATCCTCGCATAGGCATCGCTGGTTATGGCCGGGTTTCTATAGGGCCACTTGATGTTATTAACTTGTACTAGTTCACATTGGCGGTGATCGTGTAGCGTTATTGTAACCTTGGGCGTGTGGGGAGTGGCTGGGGCACGCGTACAAACCTACACCCCCCTCTCTGTGTGTGCCACAGTGCCGGCAGCCTTCATAGACGCTGCTACTCGCTACTACTGACAGCCCCTTGCCCCTACAGCCCTGCTAGAGGCTACCTGGGGGAGCTTTGTCACTGTGTGTGTGTCACTACACTTGCCCCTACAGCCCTGCTAGAGGCTACCTGGGGGAGCTTTGTGTGTGTGTCACTACACTTGCCCCTACAGCCTGCTAGAGGCTACCTGGGGGAGCTTTGTCACTGTGTGTGTAACAGCACTTGCCCCTACAGCCTGCTAGAGGCTACCTGGGTGAGCTTTGCCTGTGTTTTGAGTCACTACACTTGCCCCTACAGCCCTGCTAGAGGCTACCTGGGGGAGCTTTGTCTGTGTGTGTCACTACACTTGCCCCTACAGCCTGCTAGAGGCTACCTGGGGGAGCTTTGTAGTTGTAGTAGTGTGTGCTGATTGTCGCGGGCCGTTCGGCGCTTCATTGAGCCCCTCCCTCCTCTCTTAGCAACTGTGAAGTTAGTTAGTTATAAAATAATAATTAATTTAACAAATGTAGCGCCCTGCGCTGTGGTTACCCCTATGGTACAGTGCGGGACAGTAGTTACCTCGGTACAGTGCGGGACAGTAGTTACCTCGGTACAGTGCGAGACAGTAGCTAGCCCCGAGGTACAGTGCGGGACAGTGGTTGCCTCGGTACAGTGCGGGGCGGTTGTTAACCCGACGTACAGTGCGGGACAGTGGTCGCCTCGGTACAGTGCGACGCAGTAGCTAGCCCCGCGGTACAGTGTGGTACAGTAGTTACCTCGATACAGTGCGGTACAGTAGATAGCCCCCGAGGTACAGTGCGGGACAGTAGTTACCTCGGTACAGTGCGATAAGTTGTTTACCCGAGGTACAGTACGGGACGGTGGTTGACCCGAGGTACAGTGTGATACAGTAGTTACCTCGGTACAGTGCGATACAGTAGCTAGCCCCGAGGTACAGTGCGGCACTGTTGTTACCTCGGTACAGTGCGATACAGTAGTTAGCCCGATGTACAGTGCGGTAGTTGCCGAGGTACAGTGCGGAACAGTAGCTAGCCCGTGGTACAGTGCGGGACAGTAGCTAGCCCGTGGTACAGTGCGATACAGTGGCTAGCCCCGAGGTACAGTACGTTAGCTGCGGTTGCCTAGGAAACACCGCGCTCGGGTGGTTAACCTGCTACAGTGCCCTTAGGTGGTTAACCTTCGTACAGTACACTCCGGAACGGGGGGGCGTGGCACAGCGGTTACCATGGTTACCTTGGTACAGTGCGGTGTACAGTGTGGGGCGCGCACTGCGGGGGGCGTTGCTAAAGCACCTGACGAGGTAACCATGGCAACGGGACTGGTAGCCATGGCGATAGACACTGGAAAAGCAACATTTCCATGGCAACGCGTGAACAGATTGGTCACCATGGTAACACGCTGGTTGCCGTGGTTACGTGCTGGGTGTTGCCGCTGGTTGCCATGGTGATGGGTCCGGGTGTTTGATCCGTATCTTGACTGTAGTCCGGCTACAACCACCACGACTACAACCACCACCACAACTACAACCACCACAACTACAACCACCACAACTACAACCACCACAATTACAACCACCACAACTACAACCACCACAATTACAACCACCACAATTACAACAACCACCACAACTACAACCACCACGACTACAACCACCACGACTACAACCACCACAACTACAACCACCACAATTACAACCACCACAATTACAACAACCACCACAATTACAATCACCACCACCACAACTACAACCACCACAATCACCATCACTACAACCACCACAACTACAACCACCACAACTACAATCACCACAATCACCACCACTACAATCACAACTACAACCACCACCTCTACAACCACTACAATCACCACCACTACAACCACCACAATCACCACCACTACAACCACTACAATCACCACCACCACTACAACCACCATCACAACCACCACTACAACCACCACCACTCCTACAACCACCACTACAACCACCACTCCTACAACCACCACCACTACAGCCACCACCACTCCTACAACCACCACTACAACCACCACTCCTACAACCACCACCACTACAGCCACCACCACTCCTACAACCACCACACAACCACTACAACCACCACTACAACCACCACCACTACAACCACCACTACAACCACCATCACAACCACCACTCCTACAACCACCACTACAACCACCATCACAACAAACACCACTCCTACAACCATCACAATAAACACCACTACAACCACCACCACAACCACCACTCTCCGTGTGTCTGTGCTACTGAACACAACCCGCCAGCAGTGGTTGTGATTGCTGTGGTGGTTGTAGTGGTGGTTGTGATTGTAGTGGTGGTTGTAGTGGTGGTTGTGATTGTAGTGGTGGTGGTTGTAGTGGTGGTTGTGATTGTAGTGGTGGTGGTTGTAGTGGTGGTTGTGATTGCAGTGGTGGTGGTTGTGTTGTTGTGATGTGAGTGTAATGGTTGCTACAGGTTATTGTGGTTGTAGTAGTTGTGGTAGTTGTTGTTGTGGTGGTGTCGTTATAATTGTCATAGTTGTGGCGGTGGTTGTAGTGGTCGTGGTGTAGTTGTGGTTGTAGTAGTTGTGGTTGTAGTAGTAGTCGTGATGTAATTGTGGTTGTTGTAGTAGTTGTGGTTGTTGCAGTAGTTGTGGTGTAGTTGTGGTTGTAGTCTACAATAAAAAATAAAATATTAAACGCTCCATTGGCTGTAGTTGTGGTGGTTTACACAGACAAAGCTCCCCCAGGTAGCCTCTAGCAGGCTGTAGGGGCAAGTGCTGTTACACACAGACAAAGCTCCCCCAGGTAGCCTCTAGCAGGGCTGTAGGGGCAAGTGCAGTGTTAGACACACACAGACAAAGCTCCCCCAGGTAGCCTCTAGCAGGGCTGTAGGGGCAAGTGCTGTTACACACACACAGACAAAGCTCCCCCAGGTAGCCTCTAGCAGGGCTGTAGGGGCAAGTGCAGTCACACAGACACAGACAAAGCTACCCCAGGTAGCCTCTAGCAGGCTGTAGGGGCAAGTGCTCTTGGGTGGAGTTGATGGCTGGGGTCGGTGGATGGAGTTGGTGGGTGGAGTAGTGGGTGGGTGGAGTTGGTGGGTGGAGTAGTGGGTGGGTGGAGTAGTGGGTGGGTGGAGTTGGTGGGTGGAGTAGTGGGTGGGTGGAGTAGTGGGTGGGTGGAGTAGTGGGTGGGTAGAGTTGGTGGGTGGAGTAGTGGGTGGAGTTGGTGGAGTAGTGGCTTGGTGGGTGGAGTTGGTGGGATGGATTTGGTGGGTGGAGTAGTGGGTGGAGTTGGTGGGTGGAGTAGTGGGTGGAGTTGGTGGGTGGAGTAGTGGGTGGAGTAGTGGGTGGGTTGGTGGGTGGAGTTGGTGGGTGGGTTGGTGGAGTAGTGGGTAGATTAGTGGGTGGAGTAGTGGCTTGGTGGGTGGAGTTGGTGGGATGGATTTGGTGGGTGGAGTAGTGGGTGGGTGGAGTAGTGGGTGGAGTAGTTGGTGGGTGGAGTAGTGGGTGGAGTTGGTGGGTGGAGTTGGTGGGTGGAGTAGTGGGTGGAGTTGGTTAGTGGAGTTGGTGGGTGGAGTAGTGGGTGGAGTTGGTGGGTGGAGTAGTGGGTGGAGTTGGTGGGTGGAGTAGTGGGTGGAGTAGTGGGTGGAGTAGTAGGTGGAGTTGGTGGGATGGAGTTGGTGGGTGGAGTAGTGGGTGGAGTAGTGGCTGGGTGGGTGGAGTTGGTGGGTGGAGTAGTGGGTGGAGTAGTGGGTGGAGTTGGTGGGTGGAGTAGTGGGTGGAGTAGTGGGTGGAGTCGTGTGTGGAGTTGGTGGGTGGAGTAGTGGGTGGAGTAGTGGGTAGAGTAGTGGCTTGGTGGGTGGAGTAGTGGGTGGAGTAGTGGGTGGAGTTGGTGGGTGGAGTTGGTGAGTGGAGTAGTGGCTTGGTGGGTGGAGTTGGTGGGATGGATTTGGTGGGTGGAGTAGTGGGTGGGTGGAGTAGTGGGTGGAGTAGTGGCTTGGTGGGTGGAGTAGTGGGTGGAGTAGTGGGTTGGTGGGTGGAGTAGTGGGTGGGTGGAGTCGTGGGTGGAGTTGGTGGGTGGGTGGAGTTGGTGGGTGGAGTAGTGGGTGGAGTTGGTGGGTGGAGTTGGCGGGTGGAGTAGTGGGTGGAGTTGGTGGGTGGAGTAGTGGGTGGGTGGAGTAGTGGGTGGAGTAGTGGGTGGGTGGAGTAGTGGGTGGAGTAGTGGGTGGGTGGAGTAGTGGGTGGAGTAGTGGCTTGGTGGGTGGAGTAGTGGGTGGAGTTGGTGGGTGGAGTAGTGGCTTGGTGGGTGGAGTAGTGGGTGGAGTAGTGGGTGGAGTAGTGGGTGGGTTGGTGGGTGGAGTAGTGGGTGGGTGGAGTCGTGGGTGGAGTTGGTGGGTGGGTGGAGTTGGTGGGTGGAGTAGTGGGTGGAGTTGGTGGGTGGAGTTGGTGGGATGGAGTTGGTGGGTGGAGTTGGTAGGTGGAGTAGTGGGTGGAGTTGGTGGGTGGTGTAGTGGGTGGAGTAGTGGGTGGGTTGGTGGGTGGAGTTGGTGGGTGGAGTTGGTGGGTGGGTTGGTGGAGTAGTGGGTGGAGTTGGTGGTTGGAGTAGTGGTTGTGTTGGTGGGATGGAGTTGGTGGGTGGAGTAGGGGGTGGGTGGAGTAGTGGGTGGAGTAGTGGGTGGAGTTGGTGGGTGGAGTAGTGGGTGGAGTAGTGGGTGGAGTAGTGCGTGGAATAGTGGGTGGAGTTGGTGGGTGGAGTAGTGGGTGGAGTAGTGTCTTGGTGGGTGGAGTTGGTGGGTGGAGTTGGTGGGTGGAGTAGTGGGTGGAGTAGTGGGTGGAGTAGTTGGTGGAGTAGTGGCTTGGTGGGTGGAGTTGGTGGGATGGAGTTGGTGGGTGGAGTAGTGGGTGGGTGGAGTAGTGGGTGGAGTAGTGGGTGGAGTAGTGGGTGGAGTTGGTGGGTGGAGTAGTGGGTGGAGTTGGTGGGTGGAGTTGGTGGGTGGAGTAGTGGGTGGAGTTGGTGGGTGGAGTTGGTGGGTGGAGTAGTGGGTGGAGTTGGTGGGTGGAGTAGTGGGTGGAGTTGGTGGGTGGAGTAGTGGGTGGAGTTGGTGGGTGGAGTTGGTGGGTGGAGTAGTGGGTGGAGTTGGTGGGTGGAGTAGTGGGTGGAGTAGTGGCTGGGTGGGTGGAGTTGGTGGGTGGAGTAGTGGGTGGAGTAGTGGGTGGAGTTGGTGAGATGGAGTTGGTGGGTGGAGTAGTGGGTGGAGTAGTGGGTAGAGTAGTGGCTTGGTGGGTGGAGTAGTGGGTAGAGTAGTGGGTGGAGTAGTGGGTGGAGTAGTGGCTTGGTGGGTGGAGTTGGTGGGATGGAGTTGGTGGGTGAAGTAGTGGGTGGAGTTGGTGGGTGGAGTTGGTGAGATGAAGTTGGTGGGTGGAGTAGTGGGTGGAGTAGTGGCTTGGTGGGTGGAGTAGTGGGTGGAGTAGTGGGTGGAGTAGTGGGTGGAGTTGGTGGGTGGAGTTGGTGGGTGGAGTAGTGGGTGGAGTAGTGGGTGGAGTAGTTGGTGGAGTAGTGGCTTGGTGGGTGGAGTAGTGGGTAGAATAGTGGGTGGAGTAGTGGGTGGAGTTGGTGGGTGGAGTTGGTGGGTGGAGTAGTGGGTGGAGTAGTGGGTGGAGTAGTTGGTGGAGTAGTGGGTGGGTTGAGTAGTGGGTGGAGTAGTGGGTGGGTTGGTGGCTGGAGTAGTGGGTGGGTGGAGTCGTGGCTGGAGTTGGTGGGTGGGTGGAGTTGGTGGGTGGAGTAGTGGGTGGAGTTGGCGGGTGGAGTAGTGGGTGGAGTAGTGGGTGGAGTTGGTGGAGTTGGTGGGTGGAGTAGTGGGTGGGTGGAGTAGTGGATGGAGTAGTGGGTGGGTGGAGTTGTGGGTGGAGTAGTGGGTGGAGTAGTGGGTGGGTGGAGTAGTGGCTTGGTGGGTGGAGTAGTGGGTGGAGTAGTGGGTGGAGTAGTGGGTGGAGTAGTGGGTGGGTGGAGTAGTGGGTGGAGTAGTCGCTTGGTGGGTGGAGTTGTGGGTGGAGTAGTGGGTGGAGTAGTGGGTGGGTTGGTGGGTGGAGTAGTGGGTGGGTGGAGTCGTGGGTGGAGTTGGTGGGTGGGTGGAGTTGGTGGGTGGCGTAGTGGGTGGAGTTGGTGGGTGGAGTTGGTGGGATGGAGTTGGTGGGTAGAGTAGTGGGTGGGTGGAGTAGTGGGTGGAGTAGTGGGTGGAGTTCGTGGGTGGAGTAGTGGTTGGAGTTGGTGGGTGGAGTAGTGGGTGGAGTTGGTGGGTGGAGTAGTGGGTGGAGTTGGTGGGTGGAGTAGTGGGTGGAGTTGGTGGGTGGTGTAGTGGGTGGAGTAGTGGGTGGGTTGGTGGGTGGAGTTGGTGGGTGGAGTTGGTGGGTGGGTTGGTTGAGTAGTGGGTGGAGTTGGTGGTTGGAGTAGTGGTTGTGTTGGTGGGTGGAGTTGGTGGGATGGAGTTGGTGGGTGGAGTAGTGGGTGGAGTA